GTGGCCTGTGCAGAGGACAGTTACCAAACAAGCAAGTTATCATGTGAAGAGTATTTGGAGATCAAAGTAGAATTCCGGCAAGTCTATGACAGGGGCGGTGGGGGGTGGGGTGCTTAGCCTGGAGGGCCTCCTGGAGGAGGAGCTGGAACCTGAAAGATGAGCAGGACTCAGCCAGACAAAGACAGCAAGGGCAGCACAAGCAGAGAACAGCTGTGAGGCCTTGAGCACGCAGAACTCAGCCTCCGTGGATAAAATGAATGAGGTAGACTGAGTAGTAATCACAGCAAACACGTACTCAGTACTTACCAAGGGTCCCAGTGTTAAGCACTTTACATGAATTGACTCATTTAATCCTCACAACAGCCACGTGAAGTGGATAATCCCTTATCTCTATTGTGTCGCTGTGGAGCGAGAGGCACAAAAGCCTGAGTGATCTGCCCAGGGCAGCTTCTAAGAGGCAGACCCGGCGTGTGGACAGACGCAGGCGGTCTGGCTTTGGAATCCACACGGCTAACCACTGTACATCACAATCCACAAAGTTGTGGGGCTAGAGCTCTGTAAAATTTATTTCCCATCATGTTTTTTCAAGCCTAATTAAATGAAAAGCCTTTGATCTACATAATCAGCACTTCCAGATAGGTGCTCAGGCCCTGGGATCTCCAACAGCCCCTGGGTGCGAGCAGAAGTCATTCCCTTCTCATCTGACTTCCCCTCCCTCCTCTCTCTGAGAAAGCCTGAGTTAAAAGAACTTCTTAATACCCCACCAGTACAGGTTTGGGCCTGCTTCTTGTCAGGCCCTCGAGAACAAAGAAGGGTCCCCTCTCTTGCCCTGCATTCCTCCCACGTGCAGAAGGCCCTTTCCCAATGTTGATGAGTGAGGAAGGTCATGGCCCTGGGAGCGGCCGCGATGACACACAGCCAAGCCCAGGCTCCGGTTCCCTTTGATCATATGTCATTCTCTCTCTCTCAGTCCTTCGGGCCCCCATGGCTTGTCTCTTCCTGCTTAGGGACAGTGGTATTGTGGTACCCTGGTATGTTTTGTCTGCACAGCTTGATTGGACCTTGTTATTCTGAATGAACAAATGAATCTCAAATTAGCCTCTCAGCAGAATCAGCATTCTTGATGATGGATGTTAAGAGTCAACGGTCTACCTAGATTAGGGGACCATCAGATTTTGGCACCCCGCTGGGTGAGCATGGTTGAAAAAAAAAACTCATTAGATTTTTAAACTCAAAGTATCTCAGGCAATCCTAAAACGATATAATAAAGAAGTTAAGACCATACTCTAACTTTGCAGAAGTTAAAAACAGCCCTATTGCAGCAAAAGACACAAAAGCTATGGTAGGTCCAGTTTAAAACAAAGTTCTCTGCCAGCTAAGGAAGTCTGATTTATAGACGTTTCGTTTCCTTTTTCCACTTCCACTTGTCATAGTTACATGATTTTTAAAGATCTTCTTCCTTTAAATGGTATTTAAATAGTTCCATATAGATAATTTTAAGTATTTAGATTTAATTTCACAGGAAATGAGGGCTCTGCTATTAAGATGCATTAAGTTGACGATGACATGACGATATGGTATCAGCCTAATCGGGAACTTTTAGAGCATCCTCTAATACACACAACCAAACACCCTTTAAATCACATAATGTAGCCAAATTCATCCTAAATCCTTTCGGATGATCTGATCTGTGTGCTCAGAAATCTGCCCGCTGGGGACTCCGGGACATCTCTGAAATGCTATATAAATTCTCTTACTCATTTGAAAAATCTAACCTCAAAATAATTTATGAAATTCATTCCACCTTTGCAGCATAAAGGAGAAAATTCTCCATCACAAAAAAGGGCTACAGGATATAACCAGCGGGGAGCCAGATTATGTCTGCTAAAAATTAGTGGTATAGAACTTTTCAAAGTCAAGATATTCCAGGCAAAGCCACTCATGAGTCTATTCTAAACAAACATCGTCCCGTGAGGTTTCAGCCACCTCATCACTTGTGTCCGTGTGTGTTGACACTCATTAACTTGATTTCTAGCGAGGAAAATGAAGAACTCCTCCAAAATGACACCTAGATTTCCAGTCTTCCCTGACTGGGAGCCCCAGACCTCCCCACAGTGTCCCGCTGAGACGCAGGACCTGAGCCTTTGCCAGGATTGGCTTATGAATATATTTCCAAAGAGGGAGGAAGAAATAGAATGCTGGAGAGCAGAGAAAGAAAAGGCACACCGTCTTTGCTATCAAAACATTATTAAATTCATTCCTTTGACATTCTGACAGTAATTGTGCTGAGAGGGATTGGATTTTTGTTAAAATTACTTTAAAAGGGTGTTGAGAATTTCCTGCGGGAGGGACCAGCCAGCAAGGCGCAGCCTTCACTGGCTTTTCTTTGTTGTCCTCAAAATCTTGCAAAGTCCAGTGTGCATCTGACTTTTGACAGCAGGAAACCCTTGTAATAACACCCTCAGAAAGCTCTTCCCCTGGTTCTATTTTCTGCCGTGACCCGCGGAGTTGGTAATCCAAGCTGATTCATTCGCGAGGTTTCTGCCTTTGTCATCTTAATCAACGGAGACAGAACCAGGCACTCTGACGACCATCATTTTCCTAATAATGGCAGAACTATGACACGGCAGGTTACACAAGGGTATTGTTGGAAAGAGCCAAAAATAGTCTTATTCACTTCAAATTTCTGAATGTTCCCTTCCTTGTGGATTGAAACTCAAAGAGTTCTAATGAGGCGTGATTTCGTGACAATATGTGTGACTAAAAATACGTACATGGAGAGGTTGCCTTACCTTGGTGAGGAAATAATCTGCTTGAATGGGGCCTGGCCAAGGCTGGCTCCTGGAAAGCTCTGAGCCCCAGACCTCCCCACAGTGTCCCGCTGAGACACAGAACCTCCCCTACTGTGTTCCCCTGAGCCCAGGACCTCCCCCACAGTCTCCCTCTGAGCCCAAGACCTCCCCACAGTGTCCCCCTGAGACACAGGACCTTCCTCATTGTGTCTCCCTGAACCTGGGACCTCCCCTACACTGTCCCGGGTTCTAGCACAGAGGGCAGATCATCCCCCAGTGCCAACCCCACTGGTACAGAGACAGCCCTCTCCACCTTGAGTTCTACTGATTAAAGACCTGGAAGCTGCTTTCTCACTGATCAGAATATGAATGGCTTTCAAACAGATAAAAGACACCATTAAGAGTTGAATTTTTAAAAAAACATGTTTCCTCAAAAGGTTAAACTTTGGAGTTTACCTTGTGATACAGCCCTTCCACACCTAAGAGTAGAATTCCCCAAAAGAAATGCAAACATACGTTCACACAATAACTTGCACGTAAATGTTCATGGTGGCATTAGTCACATCAGCCAAAAGGTGGAAACAACCCAAATGTCCATCAGCGGATGAACAGATAAACAAAATGTGGATTATCCAGAGAATGGAATGTTATTCAGTCATTAAATGAAGGAAGGACTAATAGACTGCAACAGGTATGAGTCTTGTAACATTATGTTAAGGGAGAGAAGCCTGTCTTAAGAAACCACATATTGTTTCCATTTATATGAAATGTCCAGAATAGGCAAATCCATAGAGACAGAGAGATTAGTGGCTACCAGAGGCTGGTCAGAGGGGCAGGCATGGAGGCTGACTGCTAATGGGTATGGGGTTTCTTTGGCGGGTTGATGGAAATATTCTAAAAAAATTTTTTTTCTTGGGGGGTAATTAGGCTTACTTATGTATTTATTTATGTAAAGAAGGTACTGGGGATTGAACCCAGGACCTTGTGCATGCTAAGCATGTACTCTACCACTTGAGCTATACCCTCCCTCTTTTGAGCTATACCCTCCCCCTCTGAGCTATACCCTCCCCCCTTAAAATTATATAGTGGTGATAGTTGTACAACTCTGTGAATATACTGAAAACGACTGACTTGCACACTTTAAAATGGTGACTTTTATAGTATGTGAATTGTATCTCAATACAAAATATTTTAAACACGTGTGTGCATATATATATATACACACACATATATATGTCATTTCCTTCCTCTTGATTTTTAAGTGAGAATCAATTAAACATCAGCCCTAATCTTTCTCAACAACTCAGAGTAATTATCAATTACAATTCCACGAAGGAAGAACAATGCGTTTATTGGTGAAGTCAGCACTTTCTTGGCAGGAAAAGAGGGCACCTTCCTTTCTCATTTTACTGTATTGTACTGATTTTATTTCACTCTAGCATGAGAAGTCGGCACCCACCACCAATGGCAGCACTGCCAAGAATCCTGTTTCTGTTCACTTTGCCTGCAAAGCTCCTGCTCAGGAGGAAACAGGCTGTTAAAAAAAAAAAAAAAAAAAGGTTGATTTTCATAATAATTTGCAAGGTGGGTTTGGCTTACGGGGAACATCCCTCACTTTCAAAAGCAAGTTCACAATTCAAATGGTGATTCAATTCAATTGAATAAAACAGCTATTGAACAAAAACCATATGTAAAGCAAATACAATGAAAGCACCATCACTCACTGAAAGGCCATTTCATGCCGTCTTAACACTGATGCTTCTTTCAGGCACCTGAGTAACTGTTCTCATAACTTTACAAATATTATAAGAGCAGCCAACACTTAACAAGTCCCTAACTATGTACCAAACACTCTTCCAAGCTCTTTCCATATATTAACTCATTTTCCCTTACACCAACCATGAGATATATATCATTATTACTCCCATTTACAGAAGAAGAGATTGAGGTTCAGAGTGGTTAAGTAACTAGCCCACACAACTATTAAAGGACAGAGCCAGGATGCAAATCCAGGCACCTCTGGCTTCAGACACCACTCTTTTAACCCCACATTAGCATTAACCCAACTCACAAAACACTTCCACGAAACGAAAATGTAGGAAGAACTGTAAAACATGCTATAAGGACTCAGCCTTGTTTGGAGCACACTGTATCAGCGCCGTCCATTCGGCACGGAGCTGGTGATCAGCAGCATGGCATGGCCCTTACCTGTGGACCACCCCGGCCCGGTGCAGGTGCTCCACCGCCGAGATGAGCTGCCTGATGTATCTGCGGGCTTCAGATTCCTCCAGCCGCTTCTTCTCATATATCTTGTGCATCAGGTTGCCCCCAGGACACAGCTCCATGACCAGGTAGTAGCTGTTTTCCGTCTCTAAGATATCGAGGAGCTGGGTGATGTTGGGGTGGCGGATCATCTGCTGGATCTGCCCCTCTCGCCGAAGGTTTTTAGTGACATAGGTGTCCTTTTTGGCTCTCTTCTTGTCGATGACTTTTATGGCCACCTAAAGAGACACCAGGAATATGGCTGCACTCAGACACTGCAGGCAAAATTTATTCCCTGACTATTCACAAAACCCTAGGAAAATACACAGCGACTCCTCTGCACCAGGAGAAAAACCTTATCTGAAATAGCATCAAGGGAAAAAAAGAAAAATGTAACATCAGCAAAGATCTAAAGATTCAATTATTAGAGAAAAGAATGAAATTTACTTAAGCAAACTTGAATGGTTGCCTGAAAGGCTCAGTGAAGAGTCGGTGTCAAACCTGGTTCTCCGCAAGGTGAAAACATAAATTCTCCTCCAGCAAAGGCCCCTCCCTACTCCCTCTCAGGCCTCAACACCATCCCTCCAGGTTGCCCCCCCCAGTGCCTCCATTTCTGAAAGACCAAATCCGCCCCCATCTTCAGTTCGAGGGCGTGGTTCGGGAGCTGGGGGTGGCAAAGCCCAGTGATGCAGCACCTCGCCCCTCCCGCAGCAGGCCCTCAGGCCAGCCGGCCTCTGCCCTCTGATGGTTGTGATCGCTGCACAGGTTAACTCTTGGCCCTAAGCCAGGCCCCAACCTGTTGCTGCCCCAGAGTCGCATCTCAACTGCCCATTGGACATTCTCCCGGGCCACTTCCCTCACAACCAAAATCACATGTGTGGACCTCCCAGCATTGTATAAAGACAGGGAAAGACAGAGGGAGGGAGAGGAGAATGGACCTAAGGACGGAGGGATGGAGAGGAAGGGAAGACCGTCTTCTGCCCAAATCTGCACCCTTCCCCGCTCTCCCCTGTCTTTTGACGGCGGTCACCAGTCCACTCACCTGGCCTTGAAACACACCACTGGTTGCCCTCCTCTTGTCTTATATCTTCACTCCTCTTGAATGTGACCAACCACATTGATTCCTTCTGCTAACCGCCTCCCTCACTTTTCCTTCCTCTCTGTTCCCACGCAGGTCGGGTTCATTAAGGACCTTGCCTCCTAGCACCCGGACGCGCTGTCTCTAGCAAGACGCTGGTAACCCAAGGGGCATTCTCATACAAGGTACTGACTCACTGGGCCCCAGCACAAAAACAGTGGGCCTTCCATGTCTGTTTACTTCCTTTTTTTGTAACTGCTTCATAATGCACTCAATGTATGAGTACAGAAGTGATCAATCAATAGAAGATTGATAAACGGCTGACTGACTGGTAGGTGGACAGATACATGTTTGCAGTGAGGGGTTCAAAAGTTATTTCCTTGACATAGGTTTCTGATTAAAAAAGTAATAAAAGTCTGGCCACCACTAGCCTGGACTATGACATCAATATATTCCTCCTGGGCCCCTGAATACACTCTATGCTCTGCCCTGAAATCAGGTCTAAAACTCTGATTTCCTGCTTAAAGCTCTCCGGAGGCTCACTGCCGCCCGCAGGTCCACAACCCCAGCCCGGCCCCATGGAGTCCAGCCCGACTCCCAGCACCGGACGCAGGTCTCCTCCCAGAACGCTCAGTTACGCTCCAAGCTTGTGCTCACACCACCCCTTCACCCATTCAAATCCCCCTCCTGCAGAGGCTAACCCCAGTTCCACCCCCTCCTAGAAAGTCTCTTTACCTCTTCTTCCTTACGCTCCCACCACACCCACCACTTGCGATACCATTTAAAGCACCCATCCCTTCCTGCGGGGACCCTCCTCTTTCACCTCACACGGTACTTTGTAAACAAGTGACCACTTGGTCACCAACTGAGGAAATCAGTGAACCTTTTTTTTTTTTTTTGATCATTGAAGCAAAAATAGCTATAAACAGCTTAATCTGTTCTCTCTTCTGGAGAACAGTCTTTTTTGTTTGTTTGTGCTTTGTTTTCATTTATAAATTTAAACACCCTTCCAATTAACATCAGTTTAATGGACCAACATTTAAACAATGTTTAGAGAACAGTCTTTTGTTTCATTTTTAGTTTTTGAGTTGAGATATGGTTGACATATAACACTTTATTAGTTTCAAGTATCCAACATAAGGATTTGGTATATGTATATACTGGGAAATACTTATCACAATAAGTTTAGTTAGCATCCATCACCATCATTACAAGTTTGTGTGTAGGATGAGAACTTTTAAGATCTTCAGTGTTAGCAACTTTCAAATGGACAATGCAGCATTGTTAACAATATTCATCACGTTTTGCATTACATCCCCAGGACTTCTTTATCTTATAACTGGACGTTTGTACCTTTTGATCACCTTCGTCCATTTTAATGGGGATTTTCAGGCCCATTATGACTAAGAGGGGATAATGAGCCACTGGACCACACAAGCCGGGTGCCTGCACTGTCCCAGGGCAATGTGAGGGTGATGCTGTCCACTCACAGAAGCGGGCTGTAGTTTGACGCCCCCCCAGTTCAACAGATACTAGACTAAAAGCTTTTAAAACTGTACTCATTTGTGACTATATATATATAGTATCTATCTCCATCATCTTGTGGGGGGTGGAGAGAAAGAGGGATGCTGGAAAGTACAATAAGATTCCATCTTTGCTCAAGTCTATGTTACAATGTTTTAAAAATTACACCCTTTGGCAATGAAACTCTTGAAAGTACTATGAATAAACAACAGCCTGAAATCCCAGCAGTAATACGACCTGCCTTCCTTAACAGCACACAATTATTATTAGGATATTCGGCTTCACCCTTTAATTGCCTGTAGCAGGTTATATAACAGTTACCCAGAGACATTAAGTCCCCATCCTTGGACCACGTAAATGTAACCTTATTTGGAAAAAGGGAAGGATTTTGAGATGAGATTAACCTAGATTGTCTGGGTGCGCCCTATCTGTCAGCACGAGTGTCTTTATTAAAATAGAGGCAGTGGGAGATTTCACACACATTCACAGAGACATCCAAGTGATGAAGGGGGCAGAGATGGCCGTGATGGGCCACAAGCCAAGGAGCAATGCAGCCACCAGAGGCTGGCAGAGGCAAAGGACGGATCCCCCGGAGCCATTGGAGGGAGCACAGCCCTATCGACACCTTGATTTCGTTCCAATGAGATTGATTTTGGACTTTTGGCCTCCAGAACTGTGAAAGAATAGATTTCTGTTGTTTTAAGCCACTAAGTTTGTGATAATTCATTACAGCAGCACAGGACACTAACACACCAGATGTGTGCCCCACCACCCTCTGACTTCTTGGTTCCCAAGTTCTACTGATTCTCAGAGTCCTTCAGTGAAAAACCTGGACCCTTAGGCAGCCTTACCTGGAGAAGGTTTCCTATAAAGCCCTCTCTCTGTTTTTAAACACCCTTTCTGTAAGCATCCCTAAACTTGTAAGCTCTGCATTGATAATGCTGCAAACAGAATGCCATTCTTGATTACACAAAATCATTTCATCAACTTCAATTGTAACAACCGAAATGGGAAAACTGAATGGGAAATGAAGGAAAAGGCAATGATCAATGATTACCAAAGGGAAGCATCTAATTTAATTTGACAGTAATCAGAGACTCACAGGCACTGATCCTACCAGGTGGAGCCCAGTGTGATGATGGGTCTCTAGCTGAAAAGATAAACTGCTTTAGTGAGGAGAGTTTTAAAGATTAAATCTGCGCGGACTGACTGAGGACCAAGTCCAAGGACTAGACTGGAACTCCCAACCTGGTTCTCTTCAATGGATCCCAGTTGCAAAGCCTCCTAAAATTTTACAGAGGAATCTGTTTTCACAGACTGCCCCCATATTTCCGAGTGGCGGGAAATTAGTAGCAAGAGAATGTCACGGCTCTTGTATAGCACAGCTGAAACGGATTATTCAGCAACTTCCCTCAGTGTGAAAAGAAGTTGCACTTTTCACAATATGGCAATTCCCACCTCCCACCACCAGAAAAATACCTATCAGTGATGGACAAGATCAGTAAACTTTTAAATAGCTAAGCCCATAAGAAAGAAAAGGAAATCCCCAAAGGCCAAAAAAAAAAAAAAAAAAGAGCAGATTTAAGAGGAAGAGGCAGCAGCTATGGGGCAGAGAAATAGAAGATACAGGAGAGAAGGGAAGACTTCAGGCAAGGAGTTCCTGAGGGAGGAAAGGAACAGGGAGAGGACTCCTCTCTGCAGGGAAGAGGGGCACCACTGTCCCCTACTGTCCCCACCGCAGGAAAGAAGGAACGGGAGCACGTGGATCCCAGGTCATCAGGAGAGGGGCCAGCTGCAGAAAGGCATTCACGCTTCACGGCCCTGGCTATGTATCAGGAGAAAAATTCCAGCGTAGAATTTTACTTAGGATGCACAAAGGCATATGGCCCCGGTCACGGCGCACACCTCCACAAACCAATCGGTACCTGAGATAACGTACTGTGTAAAGCACTTAGAACAACATCTGACGCCTAGTAAATGCTCCTGAAATTGATGCCCCTATTATCATTACCATTTTACTTTCACTGAGGCAACCGCTGTAGAGAGGGCGAAAAGCATTCAAGCTAAGTTCAGCTAAGAAAAAAAAAATGTGACTTCCTTGACCCGGCGCTTTAGCATATTACAAAGAAGAAGGAGAAGCCTGAACTACATTTCAGTGTTTGGAACTCTCTGGAATAGAGTCGCTTTTAAATCCCAAGGCAGTGGTTTAATATCAGTCTAGTCTCTCATCTTCTTTAAATACTGACTCAGTGGAGACTGTCTACATGGGATCAGAGTTAACAGGATTTAAAACGCATCCCTTCATCCCGAGTCACCCTTCACTGCCTTTAAATTCATTCCTCTGCAACACATCAAGGATTGTTCATGTAGCCAATCTCCAGAATGAAAAGGCAGATGTAAAACGGCTGAGGAAGGAAACCCCTGATCAAAGACACTGCTCTTTAAAATATCACAAAAACACGTATGTTTACCCATTAGACAATGTATCATGTGTTTTTGTAAGTTCAGTCTTTCTTTTTTTATTTATTTAACATTTTTATTGAGTTATAATCATTTTACAATGTTGTGTCAAATTCCAGTGTAGAGCACAATTTTTCAGTTATACATGAACATACATATATTCATTGTCACATTTTTTTCTCTGTGAGCTACCACAAGATCTTGTATATATTTCCCTGTGCT